TAAATATGGTCACAAGAAGCAATGTGTTATATTTAAGCTACTTAACTTCATCTAATTTACAAAGAGAAATGTAATGCATCTGTTCACACCATAAATGGGACATTGATTATGTTATAAAATGTATATGTTGCCCTAAGAGCATGGAAAATATGTATTTGATATTACAGCTTTGTCATGAATATTGGAAGTTCATCAGGAAAATTGGTGTATCATAAGATACTGGGTTTAGATTCATCTCTAATATTTCATAAGTTTCAGTATTAGATCACATCATTATTTAATTACAGAACATCATCTCTTATTTCTCACTCTAAAATATGAGGGTGGACAGTTGGATTATGGACAGAATATGTGAATATTATCTGCTAAAGCATGAAAACATGACAAGGAAATGAAGCTCTTGTGTACATACCATTATTGTCCCTCCTGTCTGTGTCCGTAAGGGCCTCAACACCTTCCGCTGCACCAGAAAATTAGGCAGAAACAGGACAGGTGGGATTTCTGTGATTTTTGCCACCACCAGAGACCACTACAAATAAAAGACACACAATTAGACACAGTTTAGGTCACCTTCCTGTGTTACAACGCTATCCACAGGTCCAAACTCCCCCAAATCCAAATGCTGGTGCCTGTCACCCTCTAGACAATAACATCTTTTTTTCTTTAGCAAGGGATCATTGAGGGCAAAATAAATAAATCCATTTTAAAAAAGAGTTTACATTCTTAACATTCAGAGTAGTCAATGTTGCTGTTCCGCATGGTGGAATAATAACCAAGCTTTGACACCTTGTAGTAAATTTATTCCATTATATAGCTATATATTGAGTTATATGTCTAACTTGTTTTTAAGTAGTTTCCAGGTTTTACTGGTACTTTCATCAGAATAATGCAAAGTCACAGCAGGAGTATAGAGGTACCTCTCTTTAGCCCTCCACAATTTGGTCTTTGAACATAATAAAACTACTGTTAACAACTTTACTTTTCCTGCTGCAGAGACACTTCATGAGAGATTTTACTACCACCTCTCTATATTAATAATTGCATGAAATGGCCACAAACAACTGAACTGCAGCTACACAGATCCACTCAGGCAAAACATAGATCATAATAAACTCTTGGAGCAGATAAATTAAAAGCACAAAAACTCTTATTGACTCCAAGGTGCTGTCTTCTGAATATGCTCCATGTGATTGATTTGAATGAGGACTAATTCCCCTATGGGATAATTCACTGCATTCTGATGAGAACTCCCTGCTCTGTTTAGCCACCTCCTACATTACAATATTAGGCAGACAAAGTCTCCGGTGAAGCAGGACAAAACCCAGGCACTGAACATGGCATGCTGTCACAGTGAGAGATGCACTAAAGGTTGGAAATGCTGAGGGAAAACAAAGCTACCTTTAATCTGTTGAGGTAGCGTTTGGTGTGAACCACCAGCAGATCCTCCTCAGTGGCTTCAAGGGCTTCCACAATGTTCCCATCAGTGATGAACTCCTCCTCTGAGAAAAGACATGGTATGATGTGAGTCAAAGAAAATTAACTGAAAAAAAACTTCGATTGTGGAGTTAATTCAGTAAAATAAATCTTCAAACTAAAGTGTAACACAACTTTTGTACTGTACAACTTTCATGACACAAAAAGTACTAACACCATAACCATAATTGGCATGCACAGATCATCCATCCGACACATATTTAGGATTGGGTGATAGACTAATATAATTAGTTTTCCTTTATTCATATACAGTATTTGTGTAAATGCCAAGTTACCTTTTTGTGAGATTTTGGCTTTAATGACACATCTAAATGTAGCATATTGAGTTGAAAATTAACAAACTTTGTCACAAAATGAAATATGACAAAACAATAACATTTGGACCAATGTGAAGAACATGAATTTAAGCTTTTATTATGCTATTTAAAATGGCCTCAGTAAAGATTTCAGTATATTGATATAATGGTACAAAAGGTATCATTTATAATAATCATAGCCATATAATCACATATGACCAAAATGATCTGTTTTACAGGACAGTTTTTTGTTGTTGTTGTTTTTTTTAACACTGAACCACAGAAAGGTTCAGCCTCTGACTTTGAAAATAACACAGTGGGCTCACCAACTTCTTTTGTATGGTTTTTTTAAAAATGCTGGGTAAATCTGCAATATCATCTACTTTTTCCCCAATTAGTGCAGGGGTACATTTAGAAATTCCAAGGTTTTCCTCAGTCAGCAGAGGCTCATTTCTTTATTTTCAGTCTTAACTTCTGAAGGTTTTGTGAATTCATTAAGCTGTGTATGGCACTTTTGATAGCAAATATGATCCATGGTGCAATTTGACAACAATTGGTGTGAAGTTGTGCCAGCAAGCCAGCAACTCTTTTCCCTTAGAGGACTCGAAACCCACACCTGGCTTCATCTAAAGTACCTGCATAGACTCCCACAGGATGTTTTCTCTAATTATCTGTGTTCTATTGCTCTGCCTTTCTCCTCTTCAGCAGCTACACCTCACCTCTCCACTCTCTCCTTTTTGTTCTCTAGCTCTCTTTGCCTCTCTGACCCACTCCATATACATTCCATATACATGAGCTCAAGGACTCATCCTCCCCATCTGCCACACGGTTTGTCTCTCTTACCTTTCAAGAAGTGAATGACTTTCCCCCATTTCCCTGCATCAAATGGATGGAGCTTTTCAAGGCCCATGAAGGTGATGTTGTAGTCTGGGTGGTACACAATAGGCAGACATGTCCGAGGGATGCTGGCATACAATTCGGTGCGGTGAGAGCTGAAAGAAGTCAAAAAGGTATTCAATACAACAGAGCATTATATGTATATTAAATGATTTCCTCAGTGGCTTAATAAGCACTACTGGAACTGTCATGCTGTTAGTCTGTGCAGCTCACCTCATTTTCCCTTCATTATCTTCTTTGTGAAACATGTTTTTCCAGCATTGCTACATTCATCTGGGGAGGAAATATTAATTCACACACTTGCAACAGCTGTAGATAGTTGCAGTCACATTCAGAGCACCAGTAGAATACTGAACAAAAATAGGATAGAATCATTTGAAGATGCGTTATAAGATTACTCTGTAGAAATCATACACCAACGACTATACTGCACAAGCAAGAAAGGGGATACTAAACTAGTTAAGTACAGAAGCACAGAAGAGGCATTTGTCGCGCATGCGCAGTGACATGTTTACATTTCCAAAGACGCATGAGGAAATAAGGCAGCGAACGCTGGACACACATCTTCTACACATGTGTGAGCAGGGTTATAATGATTTAACCAAGGTTATTTTACCACGGAATACGAAAGCTTTACCAGAGCTGTTGTGTGAAACGGCCTGTTACAGTTTCAGAAGACAGAAACTACCAGCAGCCATAGCGTTGACTCACCTGCTACTACTGTATGTGAAACAACGCAGGTCACAGAACAACTGATGGAAATGAATAGCCCGTGGAGACTGTCAGTGGGTGTCCTACCGAAGGGGTTTAGCTTGGGTTATGTTGTCGGAAGCAAGCAGAAATAAAACGTCTTTTTTTGACAGTGTCCTTTTCGCCTCCCGCTCCACCAATAACGTTACGTAGAATACACGTGAGCTTCATTTTTACGTGCTCCGCCAGCTACGCTGTTAGCGTAAACGGAGAGTTAAAGCAGAGGAAATAAGTTTGTTACTCAAAAAACCTGCCTGCCTAGTCTTGCGCTTCGTAAAAAGAAAGACCCAAAGACTATTTCAAATGCTTAATATACTCAGTGTACGTTTTGTAATGCAAACAAAACTTGATTCTTTTTTACTCTGCTTTTTGTTACAAAATAGCAGATAGCCTATATGTTTTTGAATACACTTTCATAATCATATACAATGATACAGAAAATTTCAGATTGAGTCCTGCATAAATGTTAAAATGCACAAATAAATTCTACCAAACTTTACAATAGCTAGTTTTCTTTAAACTATAACTTTGTTAATAGTTTCAAATTTTGCCTCTGTCCAAGTTGCTGTTATCTTGATTATGTTGAATGTTTATTAAATGCTTTGTGTTTTTGGAGCCTATAGGCTATGTAAAATAAAATAGTTGCAAATGTGGTGGATTAAACTTATAAAATAATATAACAACAATAATTAAAATACTTATTAGTAAAGTACAGAAAGACAACATAATGAACATCAGGCAGTAACATAGCTTTCTTAACCAGTTCTTACCTCTGCCATGGTTTTTTTTTTTTTTTTGTTAGCAGGATACCTCAAAAAGTAATGAATGAATTTTTCTTAAAATTATTTGGAGAGGTGGGATATGGTCCAAGGAACAGTTGATTAGATTTTGGTGCTGATCCGTATCCTAATATTGATACAGGAATATTATAAACAATTCTTCACTGTTGTGCAGGGGCTTATCTATAGGGAGGGGTTCAGGTTCACTTTTTTGTTCCTAAAAGCTGTTCAAATCACTGAAAGAAACAAGAAAAAAGAAAGTCAATTATATTAATAAACACCATCTCAGGTCCACCAAAACCATAGCTACAGCACTGTGCGAAACATGCACAGCAGCGTTCACTCCCAGCAGGTCAGCCCTTTGTTCACCTTATTTATATCAGTGGGTCTAGATTAAAAAAAACAAACACCTCTCTGTATAATGCAGTGCTGTTGAATAGTAGCAAACTCCAGCCTCTGAAATTATCATCTGAAACAGTTTAGAAAACTGAACATTATCATCTTAATGAAGGTCAATTTATTGCAGGATTGTTGGATTACACTGATTTAGCTAAGTGTACTTGTTACACTGACAATGGACTATACTCCTGCTCAACATATACAGCATAGACTGTGCACACAGCAGGCTCTCATTGACTGTCATGCTGGGAATATATTAGACGTGGGATCAAATATTTCAATATCACTATGTTAATTTTATTATTATTACAATTATTATCAGAATCAGCTTTATTGGCCAGGTGTGACGGACACACAAGGAATTTGACTCAGGTACATCGGCTGTCAATGTGAAAAACAGTAAATCAGCATAAGGCTGTGTAATATAACAAAATAGCAGTATTAACATCAACAACCAGTGCAAACAATGCAGAAAAAGCAGTATAAACAGGCAGTAAACAATGCAGACAACAAAGGAATGTTCATTGAAATGAGAAATAGGGATAAAAACAGTACTTAAAACTAGAGACCTCTATGACTCTGTATAATCTGTACAATGTATATATACACAGATATTACACTGAAGGTTATTGTCTAATCATACTGTCGTTGGTTAAGTGTTCAGAGCGACAGCCTGGGGGAAGAAACTGTCCCTGTGCCTGGTTGTCTTAGTGCACAGTGACCTGTAACACCGTCCAGAGGGGAGGAGTTCAAACAGATTGTATCCGGGGTGTGAGGGGTCTGCAGT